CTGGATGCTGGCTCGATAGTTGTTTTACGGTGGCCCCTCAACACAACATTCACCTAGAGTATAATGCCTATATTCTCTCACGCCATTCATTGAGCGCTATCCAAAAAGCAAGAAAGACAATAATTTATCGAATACGAATTAAGTTGGCCAGATATTCAACTGCTACACTCGATTCTTTCCAAACACAATACACAATAATACAGCTTGTTACAAGTAGAAAAAAAAGTACGCACCAATAACTAAACATAAGCAGTGGAAAATTAGTACATTATAAGTATTATATGTACTTTATAGCACTTTTTGCAGAAATCAGATAAAGCTTTAAGTAGGCCCTTCTACTTTCGGTAATCGGAAATCATTTGTGATCTTAGAGAATCAAGAGGTTATGATATTAGTATAACTTGTATACAATTTTGTCTACCGAAATGAAACGGTACTCAAATTATGGGAATGTTAAAAAAACTGAAAACGCGGAATGTAACATTTCAGATTATCAGAAGTCGCTAAACTAACTTTAATCATGCAGACATTGTTTCTTTCAGCCTTTTTTCGCTCTGGGGGGGGGGGGGTGGTTGGGCACTTGATATTTTCGCGGGGACGGATTTAATTCTCGGTAGATGGAGGACGACACTGGTAAAATTATACATTTTCTATATAAATCCTATTTCGTTGGGGGGGGGGGGGGGGTGAGGTGGGTTTAGACATTCTGCGTCTCGATAACTGGGGACAGCCGCCCATCTAGGAGAGACAACTCCAAAATCAAACAACTGTTGCATTGTAGTTTGTTATTTGTTGGACCAACCTTATGGAAGCAAATCCAAAAAGAAAAGCGGGTGGAAATCGTAGTCAATAGCCTATATGACGCATAACCAGTTGACACATGTACTTAATTGTGTTGGAGGGGAATCCCTTCAAACATAACCAGTTGACACGTATACTTAATTGTGTTGGAGGGGAATCCCTTCAAACATAACCAGTTGACACATGTACTTAATTGTGTTGGAGGGGAATCCCTTCAAACATAACCAGTTGACACGTATACTTAATTGTGTTGGAGGGGAATCCCTTCAAACATAACCAGTTGACACATGTACTTAATTGTGTTGGAGGGGATCCCTTCCAGCACTTGAATAAAGAACGAAGAAGAATAACTACGAGCGTTACCATAAGCACCATCACAGCGACCGTAACCTTTATATATACATTTGTTTGAATGATGTCAACCTAGATTTTCCCTTCCTTCAAGTTTTGATTTTGTCAGACAAAATATTTACCACGATCACGAACCTGACCGTCACCATGTCAATGACATAGACAATAGTTATAGCATCATGCTATAATCATAGCAATATGGACCCCATTCTATTGTTGTATAACAGCTCGCCTCCATGCTATAGACCCAGTACTGACCCTCTCTTTAAGATCTAAAAAAAACCTAAACCAGCGTAACGTGACATATTCATAAAACAAAAAATATTTCTTCATATAACGTACCCTGGCATAGATTAATTAATTGGAAGTTTTTAAACGTATGATTTACCGAATATATTTTTAAGATGAAATAAGAAAATCAGAAACGAATAATTTTTAAGAAGAAATAAGAAAATCAGAAATTCAAAATGGTTTAAAATTTTGTCTATATCCCGAGTTGCCATCCCACGTAGTGTTATATTAGAATATTAGGGGAGATCTCTCCCGGTTTATTGCGCTTACAATGTGTACAATATAACTTATTTTAGCCTATCAAATAGCAGGATGCCATTGTTTATATCGCCATTACACGTGAAAACCAAATCGTTTTTGCTTTTTTTTTATTTAGTTACCAAAAATATTAAAAACAACAAATACATCCAATCTTTAGTAAATTCCGAAAAAAAACCCAGACAGACAGGATTTTATAACCATATTAATTGTAACGACGCCGTGTATGATTTTAAAAATATTTAAACGGCCTCTCGAATACTTTGCAGCTTTACTCGCTCGCGTCCATTAATTTTTAAATATTTAAATAACGTTTCCTGTATGAAGTAATGCTTATTATTGCGCTATCAAAAAAATAAACCTAGAGTAATTTCCCTTAAATTTTCTCACGAATTCAGCTTCAAATTTAACCGGAAACGAAACATGTTATTGAGAACGGATATTTTTTATCCCGAATCGACATTTCAATCGGATTGATACACTGTGGTGACAAATGGCTATACTGATACACTGTGATGACAAATGGCTATATTGATACACTGTGGTGACAAATGGCTATACTGATACACTGTGGTGACAAATGGCTATACTGATACACTGTGATGACAAATGGCTATATTGATACACCGTGGTGACAAATGGCTATACTGATACACTGTGGTGACAAATGGCTATATTGATACAGTGTCCTGGTCACATGGTATCGTTATATGACGCTACAACCGTTGTATACTGGTACATGTAAAGCACTAATTCACACGGTCCATGGTCCAGATAAAGTATTGCTCGCCTAAACGGATGGTGTGGTCAGCATGATGCCTATCAACAGTTACCTTCCCCAACGTCAGCCAAGTACCCATCAGAGCTGAGTACACTCTACTTAAGCTCAGGATCCGAACTCGAGACTTACTTTTTGTCAGTCAAACGCTCTGCCTTTCGTTCCATGTTGTATCTATCGATACAAAGACTGTATACATGCACTTTAATACTTTCGATGAGTTAAAAGTTACATATTTAGAAAATTGTCTATGATTATATTAAAAATGTAATAATCTATAGCATGCAACCAACGTTTTTCTTGAATTTGTCAAACGATTTTATAATCATAATTCGTTTCAATATTTATCCAAATTGAGAACAGATGGGAGAGATTATCCTAAAGCTATTTATCCCATGGTACGTTTTAGTGATATGATTTCATTCCATGGAAAGTTGTCAACGATTTGATTTTATCCCATGGTAAGTGTTAGTGATATGATTTCATTCCTTGGAAAGTTGTCAATGATTTGATTTTATCCCATGGCAAGTTGTCAGGGAATAGATTTTATCCCACCGTGAATTGTCAGTGTTGAATTCATCTCATGGTAAGTTTGTAGTTTGAATTTGTTTTTCCTGGTTCTTTTAAAACAATAAATCGGTCCACAAAGTTAATTGAAACAAAACAAAAAGAGTCGAGAAGATATGTTTGATGTTTCCTTACAAAACCACAAAGACTATACTTAAATGTTAACTCTCCATTTCAGGATAAGAAAATCAACAAGTTTTATGAAGACATCATTGGCAAGATTTTCTAAACAAGCCTGGGTAGCTGGGTTTTATCACACATCTTCTTCTGGATGATTCGCTCAGTTTTCACGTAATTATCTCATAACGAGTCTCACGTTTTTAAATTGGATGTTCTCTGTTGATAAGTAATGTTAAAATTCTATGTAAATAGCGACTTGCACTTAATGTAAACAAAGCACCACAAATCAATAAATTATTGTAGATTTAAACTACATGCAATCATTATTTTACAACTACTTTTGTGTATAAATCTAACGCCTATTTATTATTTCTTTCTTTTTTAAAACTTTTAATTATTTGTTAAACAAAAGCTACGAGAATGTAGGCTATATAACTGTTTACATTTTAAATATGTAAAACTGTTTTTAAAAAGTACGTATTTTACTATTCAGGCCACTAGATTGAACTAAGATTAAAATAGTTCAACTATGGTTTTAATTGAAAGTTATATAAACAACAGCAAAGTGTATATATATATATATATATATATATATATATATATATATATATATAACATTGATTAATTGCTAAAAATAATTTCGAATACGAATGTAAATCAGAATAAATGTTAAAGAAAATAAACTAATTGGACTAATTAAATTAATTTTATAAACATGTATTTTCTGTAGTTAAACTAGCAATAGCTATAGAAGTCATCCTCTGCTAAATATGTCTTTTAACACCCATTAAACTCATCAAGCTAATATTCCCTAATAAATTATACGATTATTTTCTGCAATTGTGTAACTTCTGTCTCCTGACTTATTAGTTGAATCAACAAGATTAAATGCGGCTAATCGAAGTTCTGTACACCATGCTTCACACGAGCCTATGACAGAATATTGATGTCCTGTGAAGGACAGTTAGTTGATAATTTTTTTATGTGGATCATATTAAAATGTAAACATTTGAATCTACTTTAATAAGGTCCATTCTTTCAAATGACATCTAAAAAGTAAAGAAAGTGAATTAAAAAAATTCAACCTGTAGTAATGGAATTGCTTACTATTAAAACAATGTACGAATGTAAAATGAAAAATGTTGTTAGCCTAAGTAGCGGAAGATAGTATATCGTTTTGTAATGTTTGAAAACATTTTCTATAAATTGTTGTACACTTGTTTACTTGACGTTTAAATAAAATATTATAACTACTATTTTTATTCCTTTCTACAATATTTTCTATAAAGAGATTTTATTGTTGTAATTGTTTCCCTTGACAATGTTTACATTCAAATATGGGAAATGATTCACTCTAAATGCATTTGAAATTACTTCTTCTGCTTTGGTCTCTAAATATTATTATTATCATTATTATACAAATCCAGGGTTTCTTTCAAACATTGTTCTCGTGTGGGTAACTTAAAACCACCGAGTGGCGTTGGAAGGGATGGAACTACCCCGTTTCTGGTATTGTTTTCATCATTGCTAGTGTTCTAGAACTAATGACATCCATGCTATTGCTCTAGAACTGTTGACATCTACTATGGCTCCTGAGCTAACCCTCTGTCTAAGATCTCAACAAACCATCCACAATCAGCTTCACGTTTCCATAGTTGTCTCTTCATCAGGCTCATCATGACATTGATAAATTGATTGTAAGTCTGAACTTTTAAGTTTTAAATCCAATAATTAAACGGACACATTTTTATGTAGAAATAAAAAAAAAATATTTTGTGTAGAACAGTGTTTAAATAACGATCTAAAACCACCAACCGTTTCAGACTGGCGAGTTTTATTTGACTGCTTGACCGTTCAGTGTGACGTCACATGAGATCGGACATCGCGTCATAATATCTTTGATGGCTGTCGTGTACTTCTCCTCGTCATCAATCATTTCACAGTTCAAACCTAGCGACAAAGTGTCCAGATTTGTGCACGGCTGTAAACTGTGGACACACAGGTAGAGTAGAAATATCATTACATACATGTATGACACACATCAGAACCTCATATCCTATCTGACACGCCAAGCATGTTGTAGTACACAAACTGTACTTGTGTCCAGAAAAGGGACTCTAGGATGTCGCTGAGCACAACCAGCTCTGATGGGTACCTGACTCAAAGGTACCTGAATCCAACCCACGAAACGATGATTGTACCTGACTCTAGTCCACCCAGCTCTGATGGGTACCTGACTCTACTCCACCCAGCTCCTTCCCAACGTGATTCAGGTACCTGTCTAATTGTTGGGCACGGTGCACGCTAAACCATTTCGTCATATACAGAGTTCAAGAAACATACACATACAAACTCTACTTCATCTGATAAGATTATCTCATACAAAAGTTTGCTCCATAGATTTAACCAATCCAACAGTCATACAACTATTAAAATATATGAATTTAATCTTGCAGAACTCTCGACCATATGTTTTGATACTTACACATCAAACAACTAATTCATTTTTAGCCTACAAATGTATTTAACAGCCTGAAACCACAGTTAGAACAACAATAAAATGTTTACCTACCTTTTGAATATCGTATCAATGCATTCCATGTCTAGACGAACATCAGTTTGTAGATCAAGATGATGTAAAGTTTCCTGCAAACACAGACCAATTATATGAGTAAAAAATTCATAAAAAACGTTTTAATAACAAGCTTTTATGTAATAATGCACTAAAAAGTAGAAAATAAATTATAGACTACTATTTAAATAACTATAAAGAAAAGCGTGGGTCACTTTAGTATCTATTGGATACCTTTACTAATGTTAAGGAAGACACCCACGCTTTTCTTTATAGTTATTTAAATAGTAGTCTATAATTTATTTTCTACTTTTTAGTGCATTATTACATAAAAGCTTGTTATAAACCGTTTTTTTATGAATTTTTTTTCAGTACTTTACATGTTTTATTTACAATAGAGTTACATGACTAAAAACCATTGCGCGCCTACTGAACGTGATGGCGCAGCTATTGAACGTACCGTGATGGCGCAGCTATTGAACGTGATAACGCGTGTGGTGTGGTTGGCTAGACATGCCTACTAATTCGGTCCAAATTTTAATTGATTCATAAAAAATTAATTAGGCATCCAATTAAGTCAAATTTAATTTCAGATTGCATTGTCTTCATGTCTTGACCCACGTGTCAACTGTGAATCGTATCGGTCAAGTAGAAGTGTCCGAATTTTCACTCCGGCGTTTCGATCTAGACAGACTGACGACTGACGACAGACTTACGAGGAAGTGAGTTAAATAAAAGCTTGTAAAAATCATGAGTGTTGTTGCATTAAGTTTCAGGAACTTCAATTAATTTAACGCTGATTCCAGGCAATAGCATTTTCGCCTCGGATCTTTGTATTTCTACCATTCAGTAACGTGAATGTACTAAATGAAAGGTCTGTACCAAGTGTGAAGCTGATCCCCCTCACCTGAAAGTTTTGTCCCATATGTTGAAAGAACTTCACTATGTTCTCTATAGCGATGACACTGCCAGATGTCCACTGGACTTGATAGAGCGGCATGGATGGTGTTAGCATCAATGTCGTGTCTTGGAAGTACGACTCCTGAATGGAATTATTTTCAAGACTTACTTTGGAATTCTGTATAGAATTGTGATTTATCCACTTGGAAATAATACTCTGTAACGCAGTGTTAAAAAATAAACAATATATATAGGTCTAGCGATTTGTCGGACAGATGTAGTAGAGTTCATATGTTAATCGATCTAGGCTTATGAAAGGAGATGTAGCCAGCACTTTGCCTACTCGTCTTTAATTCTTAATATGAGTTAGGTACCCATCAGAGTTCTACTGACTTGAACCCTGGATTAAAACTCGAGACTTTCGGATTCACAGCCTACTGCTCTACCGCCGTCCCTTGTTACTCTGACTAAAATAATGAACAGAAGGTAAGCTACGTGTTTATCTTCTTTACTAAAAGCGTCTGTGTTAAAACGGTTACCAGACCGATATGAGTTTTAATTTAATAGCAAAATAAACTGAGTTATTTTTTTTGTTTTTAAAATATTGTTATAATGAAGGTTTTTTTTTTTACTAAACACCAGCTCACAGATTTGGGTTTGATACAAAATATGACTCTGAGCTCAGGACAAGCCGCTGTAAGGTTCTCCCACGCTGTAGGGGTGGTGCTACTCTCGAGATTTGGGGGCTTGTCTACACGAACTGTGATCACCTTCAGGCTGGTTGTTGTCCTGGCTAAGCTGAGCAGCAGGTCATCTTCCAAATAACCGTAGCTGAGGTCAAGTTCTGAAAGTCACAAGGTCTCTCGTTATGTTCCATATGGTGAGTCGACTAGAGCAGAAACCAAGTCAATTATTAAGTACACATAGCGTCAGTCTTAAGAGAACTGCGCGATCATGTTCTTATCAGAGCTGGATGGACAAGATCTCATCAGAGCTAGGGGGTCAACATCTTATCAGAGCTTGGTAGTCAAGGTCAGAGCTAAAGTATTCAAGGTATTGTTGGAGTTTGGTGAAGGTCTTATCAGAGCTAGGTGGTCAAGATCTCATCACAGCTAGGTGGTCAAGATTTTATCAGGGTTGAGTAGTCAAGGTTTTATTAGGTCAGGCTTTTGTTATAGTTGGTGGTCAACATCTTGTCAGAGTTGGGTGGTCAAGGTTTTTTATCAAAGCCGGCTGGTGGGTGTCGTTTTAAAACTGGATGGACTGCTACATTGAAGGTGTTTTCCAATCTTCTGACCTTATACCCAGTGATGCAAAACTAGAGATAACCAGTGCTCACGTCCATGTAGATTTATAGCCACCATCATTAGCTATCATACTACTTAATAGTAAAACGAATATTTGTTTATTATTGAAAATATTATTAATAATTTTTACTATTTTAAAAATGAAAAAGACCAGACAAAATCAAACTAATCCTTTAACTGAAAAATGACGTCGTTCAACCCACCTGACAACTTGCTGAAACCTGCGATGGCGCTTCGAAATTGTGGAAGAAAAGTCAAATCTTTCAAGCTAACGAGCCTGTAGATCGCAAGTTTCTGTAGCGTGTTGGTACAGTTTTTACTTGCAGCATTCAGCAGTTTCATACCTTGAAATATTTAAGTAAAGTTTCCATTTTTATTTTAAATAGTTTAATCATGTTTTGAGAAAAATAAGCATTTTATTGTTTTGATTTTCGATGCATTAAAAGTATAATAATGCTCAGCCCACAATCCACTGACTGAAATGAGGTCGACTGTTGATACCACCACAATAAAATCTAACTAAATACAAACCTGGTCAACACTCAACGTCTTGTTAACACCCAACTTCTTGTTAACACCTAACGTCTTGTTAACACCCAACGTCTTGTTAACACCCAACGTCTTGTTAACACCTAACGTCTTGTTAACACCCAATGTCTTGTTAACACTTAACGTCTTGTTAACACCCAACGTTAGACTGTCCATACTGACCTTCATTTACGGTAAAACAAGCATTGCCACGGTGTTTGACAGACTTTTGGCTGTTGCTGAGGTCAAGGACACGAAGCTGCTGCTGGTCCTCTAAAACTTTGGTCAAGAGTTCAGCGACCTCTGAAAATGACCTTGACTTAGCGCCTATGCCACGGATTTCCAAACTGCAGATATTGGTTAGCTTGAAGGTCCAAATTTGATGGTTGCGTGAGTTCAATAAGTTGGCCAAAAATTGGTACAGCTTTGCTGTATAGGATGCACGGCCTCTCTTTGCTTTAAAAAACGAAAAAATACACATGTACATTTGTAGTCGACTGGTTCGTACATAGACACACACCTCCACCACTATTTGTGTGACTTACCACACAAATGGCAACCACTCGCTCTACATTCTACGTTGATGTGACGTAACGTTTTGCCGGTCATTTTCATGAACGTGATCGCTTTCTCATCACTCTCGGGGGCGAAAATAAAATCTCCGGACTCCCACACGGACGGCACTGAAAGTGGACGGAGCCAGGACTTGCAGGTGAGGGCGGCGTGGTACTTGTCGCTGTTGCTCAGGTAACGGAAGACGTGCAGCAAAATGTCGTACGGCAGCTGGCTCCAGTCTGGCTGATTATCAAATATGAATACCTGGAAAAAAATATATGATATTACTATACCATATTGCTTCAAAATGTTGAATTTATTAAAAATATATATCTGCACAGATTTGAGTAAAACAATTAATAAAAAGGTTTTTTTCCGAGATATTTGAACTATCACGTCGTACCAAAGTGAATCATCGGGTAATAGTTTAGGTTCAATGAAAACAAATTGAAATGTAGTCTTTTACGCAAAATCGTATTTTTAAGTTATCAACATAATCATTTTATATTGTTTATTCATAAAACATTACATGTCTAAATTTTTTAATGCTTGAGTTTAGTATTTTTTACTGCTATTTTAAAGACACAATTTGACAAATATACTTTTTTCCATGTAAAAACATAATAATCGAAGTGATGTCGTCAAACTTGGTAAGGTCACTTGAGTACGTGTTTATAAGGTAAACCTTATGGCTTTGGCCAACCTACCAATTGCCTGAACTATATAGGACAATATCGGAAGTGAGTATGTGACACTATAGGACTCTAAAGAACGTGACAAATAGGACAATATCGGACGTGAGGATGTGACACTATAGGACACTAAAGAACGTGAGAAATGGACAATATAGGACGTGGGTATAGGACACTGTAGGACGTGAGTATTGGACAATATCGGACACGGTAAGACGTCAGAATACTACTCCATAGGACACAATAGGACATGAGTATAGGAAACTATAGGGCGTGAATGTAGGACATTATAGGACACTAACGGACTTGAGTATTAGACACCATAGGGCGTGAATAAATTTCACTATAGGACGTTAGTGTAGGACACTATAAGACGTAGGTGTAGGACACTATAAGACGTGAATATAGGACAATATAAGACGTGAGTATAGGACACTATAAGACGTGAGTATAGGACAATATAGGATGTGACTAAAGGACACTAGAGGAAGTAAGTATATGACTCTATAAAACGTGAGTATAGGAGACTATAACACACTATTTGAAGTGTCTTTACCTGTTCATTAACACGGCCAACAAATTCTTCTGCAACTTGTTTTAGTCTTGTGATGTTGAACAAAGACATGCCGCACTATTGGTCTGAGGCCGTTTGCTTCTCGATGTTATTTAATTTTTTTTTTCTTTTTAAATTACTAGGAAGATGAAATTATCATAAAATTACCCTACACACGCCATTGTTTACATTATGTTGAAATGGATGCGCTACGCAATTTTTGATGACGTTTATCTAATGATTTAAAATGAAAGCACTTTGTAATCTAAAACTTGAATTTGAATCCTATAATTATTTTAGAGGGTTGTTTTTAAAAACTTATTAGATTAGGATAAAAACTTCCGATTGTGTTTATTTTATTACATTTTTACGAAATAGATTTGTGTTTTATAATTACTCTTGCAATTATTTTCCTTCACAATATAATTAACTTTTTAAATCAATTTATTACTTTGGGTCGGAGTTGAGGAGCGATATTTTGACCACTTCTACCAGAACGATTGCGTTCAACTTTGACGCGTGGGTCAAGACTTGGTGACAATGCAATGTGAATTAAAATTGTATGAATTGTATGGATTAATTAATGTTTAAAGATTTAAATTTGGATTGTGTTATAAAAAAATAAATAAGCCTGGAGTAATCTCCCCTGCATTTTCTCGAATATTCTTGTTTAACACTACGGGGGATGACAACTCGGGATATAGACATGATTTTTAATCCATTTTTCCCACGTTTTCTTTAACTTGCTTTCTCTGTTTGTGTGTTTGTTTGTCTTTCCAATCAAATCTTGCGATCGAAATTTCTGGCACTTCCCAGTTAGCTAGCGCGCTGAAATTTTCAGGGAAGCTTTCTTTTGGATGACCATTGAATATTCAATTGTTATTATTACTAAATTGATCAATGGAAACATTTTATTGAGCATTTTAGACCGCTATATAATCTATATATATAATTCTCCTCTGCTAGCCATTACAAAAAAAAACCAGCGACGCGTACCTCGCGCGCAGTGAAGCGAACGATCACATGTCGCCACAGGCTTAGGGGCAGAGAATTTAGCTTGAACCGAGTTTAAACTTACAGGAGGTAGGCCAGTTTGGGGGAGACGATATGGTCGAGTGGTTGGGCACACGATTGCTATCCCACTCGACACGGGTTCAAATCTATGTGTTCTAGTCAGTAACGTATTCAAACAACGTGTTTTTTACGAGTTGTCTTTTTACGAGTTGTCTTTTTACGAGTTGTCTTTTTACGAGTTGTCTTTTTACGAGTTGTCCTTTTACGAGTTGTCTTCGTTTACCCAAAAAAAGTGAAAAGATAAAATCGATAGCAAGATTTTAATGCAAACAAACAGACAAAGACTAAAAAGTAGAAAATAATAATCATTAAAAAAGTTTTAAAAAACCCACGTTTTCTGATTGAACTAAAAAGTAGAAAATAAATGCTATAGGCCCTACATCACAATAATGCAAGCGATCACTCTACTATAAGCGAGCAAAAACGTGGGGCGCCGTGATTTTCTTACAGTTTCTAATACTGTTGACTCTCTACAAGCTCCCTAATAAAAGTCAATAGTATTATCTAATCAATAGTAATATAACTTTTACTTCGGCGCCCCACGTTTTTGCTCGCTTATAGTAGAGTGATCGTGTTGTTGTGATTAGATTTAATTGAATTTTTTTTTCAAAACCCGATCAGGCCAGAAAAGAGTATCCTATGTTCGTATTGTGTTTGTATATATATATATATATATATATATATATATATATATATATATATATATATATATATATATATATATATATATATATATATATATATATATATATATATATATATATATATATCATATATATATATATATATATATATATGATTTTTCGCGGGGTGGCCCATTTTTTCTAGTTCCGCCACTGGTTTGAATTTGTCTTTCCTGGTTCTTTTAAAACAATAAATCGGGTCACAAAGTTAATTGAAACAAAACAAAAAGAGTCGAGAAGATATGTTTGATGTTTCCTTTATCATAGACCTTACAAAACTATAAAGACTATGCTTAAATTGTAGCTCTCCATTTCAGGATCAGAAGATCAACAAGTTTTATGAAGACATCATTGGCAAGATTTTCTAACCAAACCTGGGAAGCTTCGTTTTATCACACATCTTCTTCTGGATAATTGGCTCAGTTTTTAATTAATTATCTCATAACGAATCTCACTTTTTTAAATTGGATGTACTCTGTTGAAAGTAATATCCAAACTCTATGTGCACAGCGACTTTCACATAATGTAAACAAAGCACCACAAATCAATAAATTATTGTAGATTTAAACTACAACAAATCATTATTTTACAACTACTTTTGTGTATAAATCTAACGCCTATTTATTATTTATTTCTTTTTTAAACTTTTAATTATTTGTTAAACAAAAGCTACGAGAATGTAGACTATATAATTGTATAAATTTTAAATACGTAAAACTGTTTTTAAAATTTACGTATTTTATTATTAAGGCCACTAAAATAGTTCAACTGTTGTTTTATATAAACAACAAAAAAGCCACGGGTGCTTTGACCATAGGGGCTTTGACCATAGGGGGTTTGACCACAGCGGGGCTTTGACCATAGCGGGATTTGATCATATGGGGTTTGACCATAGGGGGTTAAGCTAATATTAAGCTAATATTCCCTAATAAATTATACGATTATTTTCTGAAATTGTGTAACTTCTGTCTCCTGACTAATTAGTTGAATCAACAAGATTAAATGCGGCTAATCTGTACACCATGCTACACACGAGCCTATGACAGAATATTGATGTTCTGTGAAGGACAGTTAGTTGATAATTTTTTTGTGTGGATCATATTAAAATGAAAACCGCTATTTGAATCTACTTTAATATGGTCCATTCTTTCAAATGAGATCTAAAAAGTAAAGAAAAAGACTTAAAAACTTCAACCTGTAGTAATGGAAGTGCTTACTATTGAAACAGTGTACGAATATAAAATGATAAATGTTGTTAGCCTACGTAGCGGAAGATAGTATATCGTTTTGAAATGTTTAAAAACATTTTCTCTAAATTGTTGTACACTTGTCTACTTGACGTTTAAATAAAATATTATAACTACTGTTTTTATTCTATTCTACAATGTTTTCATAATTGTTTCAATAAAGGGATTTCATTGTTGTAATTGCTTCACTTAACAATGTTTACATTCAAATATGGGAAATAATACTCTCTTAACGCATTTGAAACTACTTCTTCTGCTTTGGTCTCTAAATATTATTATTATCATTATTATACAAATCCAGGGTTTCTTTCAGACAGTTATCTCGTGTGGGTAACTTAGAGTGACGTTCGAGGGGGTGGAAGTACCCCTTTTCTAGTATTGTTTCATCAATGCCAGTGTTCTAGAACTACAGACATCCATGCTATTGCTTTGAACTGTAGACCTTCATCTATAGTTCTAGAACTGTTGATCTCCATGCTATTGTTCTTGAACTGCAGAGATCTACTATGGCTCCAGTGCTAACCCTCTGTCTAAGAGCTCAAAAAACCATCCCCAACCAGCTTCACGTCTCAATAATTGTCTTTCCATCTAGCTCATCATAAAAGTTTCCCTTTCAAACCTGACAGTCTATGGGGCAAGTGTAGTAGAGTTCATTTGTTTCTGTGACCTCGGCATATGAAGAGATAGTGTGGTCAGCACTATGCCCAGCCGCCTTTACTTTCCCTAACAGGAGTTAGGTACCCATCAGAGTTGGGTGGACTCAGGGACGGTCTACTGATGTGAACCCGGATTCGAACTCGAGACTTACGGGTTAGCAGTCCAGCTCTCTACCGCTAGACCACTCCGTCCCACCTAGCTCATCATGGCATTGATAAATTGATTGTAAGTCAGAACTTTTTAGATTTAAATCCAATTATTAAACGGATGAATTTTTATGTAGAAATAAAAAACAGAAGATGTTGTGTAGAACATTGTTTTAATAACGATCTAAAACCACCAACCGTTTCAAAACTGACGAGTGTTATTTGACTGCTTGACCGTTCAGTATGACATCACATGAGACCGGACATCGCGTCATGACATCTCTGATGGCTGTCGTGTACATCTCCTCGTCATCACTCATGTCACAGGTCAAACCTAGCGACAAGGTGTCCAGATTTGTGCACGGCTGTAAACTGTGGACACAAAGGTAGGGTAGAAATAGCATTACGTACATGTATGACACACATCAGAACCTCATATCCTATCTGACACGCCAAGCATGTTGTAGTACACAAACTGTACTTGTGTCCAGAAAAGGGACTCTAGGATGTCGCTGAGCACAACCAGCTCTGATGGGTACCTGACTCAAAGGTACCTGACTCCAACCCACGAAACGATAATGGTACCTGTCTCTAGTCCACTCAGCTCTTATGGGTAACTGACTCTAGTCCACTCAGCTCTAATGGGTACCTGACTCTTCTCCACCCAGCTCTGATGGGTACCTGACTCTAGTCTACCCAGCTCTGATGGGTACCTGACTCTAGTCTACCCAGCTCTGATGGGTACCTGACTCTAGTCCACCAAGCTCTGATGGTACCTGACTCTACTCCACCCAGCTTTTTCCCCAGCGTGAGTCAGATACCTGTCTAACTGTTGGGCACGGTGCACGCTACACCATTTAGTCATATACTGAGTTCAAGAAACATACACATACAAACTCTACTTCATCTGATAAGATTATCGCATAGAAAGTTTGCTTCATTGATTTAACCAACCCAACAGTCATACAACTATTAGAAAATATGCATTTAATCTTGCAGCACCCTCGACCATGTTTTACTACTTACAAATCAAACAACTAATACATTTTTAGCCTACAAAATGTGTTTAAGAGCCTGAAACCACAGCCAAAACAACAATAAAATCTTCACCTACCCTTTAAACATCGCATCAATGCATTCCATATCTAAACGAACATCAGTTTCTAGATAAAGATGGTGTAAAGTTTCCTGTAAATACAGACTAATTATATGAGTAAAAATCATGAGTGTTGTTGCATTAAGTTTCAGGAACTTTAATTAGTTTAACGCTGATTCAAGGCAATAGCTTTTTCGGCTCGGATCTTTGTATTTCTACCATTCAGTAACGTGAATTTACTAAATGAGAGGTGTGTAGCCAGTGTGAAGCTGATCCCCCTCACCTGAAAATTTTGTCCCATATGTTGAAAGAACGTCTCTAAGTCCTCTATAGCGATGACACTGCCAGATTTCCACTTGACTTGATAGAGCGGCATGGACGGTGTTAGCATCAATGTCGTGTCTTGGAAGTACGACTCCTGAATGGAATTATTTTCAAGACTTACTTTAAAATGTTGTATAGAATTGTGATTTCTCAACTTGGAAATAATACTCTGTAACTCAATGTTAAAAAGTAAAGAATAATTGTAGGCCTAGCGATCCGTTGGGCAAAGAGTTCATATGTTAATTCGCCTCGACTCATATTCAGAATTAAAGACGAGTAGGCAAAGTGCTGACTACTCCTCCCTTTCATGAGTTAGGTACCCATCAGAGTTGGTTGGACTTAGAGACGTTCTATGGATCTTGAACCATGAATTTGAACTCGAGACTTTTGGGTTAACAGCCTAGTGCTCTACCACCTTCCCATGTTACTCTGACTAAAATAATGAACAGGAGGTAAGCTACGTGTTTATCTACTATACTAAAAGCGTCTGTGTTAAAACAGTTACCAGGCCGACATAAATTTAATTTAATAGCTAAAGTAATTTGATGTTATTTTTGTTTTCAAAATATTGTTGTACTGAAGGTTTTTTTTTAATAAACAAAATCTCACAGATTTGGGTTTGATGAAAAATATGACTCTGAGCTCAGGACATGCCGCTGTAAGGTTCTCCCACGCTTCAGGGGTGGTGCTACTCTCGAGATTTGGGGGCTTGTCTACACGAACTGTCATCACCTTCAGGCTGGTTGTTGTCGTGGCTAAGCTGAGCAGCAGGTCATCTTCCAAATAACCGTAGCTTAGGTCCAGGTCTGAAAGTCACAAGGTCTCTCGTTATGTGACAGTTGGTGAGTCGGCTAGAGCAGAAACCAAGTCAATTATTAAGTACACATAGCGTCAGTCTTAAGAGAACTGCGCGATCATGTTCTTATCAGAGCTGGATGGACAAGATCTCATCAGAGCTAGGGGGTCAACATCTTATCAGAGCTTGGTAGTCAAGGTCAGAGCTAAAGTATTCAAGGTATTGTTGGAGTTTGGTGAAGGTCTTATCAGAGCTAGGTGGTCAAGATCTCATCACAGCTAGGTGGTCAAGATTTTATCAGGGTTGAGTAGTCAAGGTTTTATTAGGTCAGGCTTTTGTTATAGTTGGTGGTCAACATCTTGTCAGAGTTGGGTTGTCAAGGTTTTTTATCAAAGCCGGCTGGTGGGTGTCGTTTTAAAACTGGATGGACTGCTACATTGAAGGTGTTTTCCAATCTTCTGACCTTATACCCAGTGATGCAAAACTAGAGATAACCAGTGCTCACGTCCATGTAGATTTATAGCCACCATCATTAGCTATCATACTACTTAATAGTAAAACGAATATTTGTTTATTATTGAAAATATTATTAATAATTTTTACTATTTTAAAAATGAAAAAGACCAGACAAAATCAAACTAATCCTTTAACTGAAAAATGACGTCGTTCAACCCACCTGACAACTTGCTGAAATCTGCGATGGCGCTTCGAAATTGTGGAAGAAAAGTCAAATCTTTCAAGCTAACGAGCCTGTAGATCGCAAGTTTCTGTAGCGTGTTGGTACAGTTTTTACTTGCAGCATTCAGCAGTTTCATACCTTGAAATATTTAAGTAAAGTTTCCATTTTTATTTTAAATAGTTTAATCATGTTTTGAGAAAAATAAGCATTTTATTGTTTTGATTTTCGATGCATTAAAAGTATAATAATGCTCAGCCCACAATCCACTGACTGAAATGAGGTCGACTGTTGATACCACCACAATAAAATCTAACTAAATACAAACCTGGTCAAGACTCAACGTCTTGTTAACACCTAACGTCTTGTTAACACCTAACGTCTTGTTAACACCTAACGTCTTGTTAACACCTAACGTCTTGTTAACACCTAACGTCTTGTTAACACCTAACGTCTTGTTAACACCTAACGTCTTGTTAACACCTAACGTCTTGTTAACACCTAACGTCTTGTTAACACCTAACGTCTTGTTAACACCTAACGTCGTGTTAACACCTAACGTCTTGTTAACACCTAACGTCTTGTTAACACCTAACGTCTTGTTAACACCCAACGTCTTGTTAACACCTAACGTCTTGTTAACACCTAACGTCTTGTTAACACCTAACGTCTTGTTAACACCTAACGTCTTGTTAACACCTAACGTCTTGTTAACACCTAACGTCTTGTTAACACCCAACGTCTTTTTAACACCCAATGTTAGACTGTCCATACTGACCTTCATTTACGGTAAAACAAGCATTGCCACGGTGTTTGACAGACTTTTGGCTGTTGCTGAGGTCAAGGACACGAAGCTGCTGTTGGTCGTATAAAACTTGGCCCAAGAGATGAGAGACCTCTGAAAATGACCTTGACTGTTCGCTTATGCCATTTATTTTCAAACTGCACAGATTGGTAAGCTTGAAGGTCAAAATCTGACGGTTGCGTGAGTTCAATAAGTTCGCTAGGATGCGCTGCGTTCATATCCTATAAAAACCAAGAGAGCACACATGTATGTTTGTTGTCGACTGGTTCGTACAAAGACGCACATTTCCACCATTATTGTGTGACTTACCCAAAGCATTGTAATCGCTCGCTCTACATTCTACGTTGATGTGACGTAATGTTTTCCCTCTGATTTTTACAAACCTGATGGCCTTCTCATCATTCTTGGAGTTAAAATTAAAATCTCCGGACTGCCATAAGGACGGCACTGAAAGTGGACGGAGCCAAGACTTGCAGGTGAGGGCGGCGTGGTACTTGTCGCTGTTGCTCAGGTAACGGAAGACGTTCAGCAGAATCTCGTACGGCAGCTGGCTCCAGTCAGGCTGATTATCAAGTACGATTACCTGGAAAAATATAAATATGTTATTGCTATATTATAAATATTGCTTCAAATAGTTAAATATATTAAAAATATATATCTGCACGGATTTGAGTAAAATAATTAATAAAAAGGGGTTAATCCGAGATATTTGAACTCTCACAGTGAGTATAAGACACAATAGGGTACTAAAGGGCGTGAGTATAGGACACTATACGAAACAATAGGACGTGTCTTTACCTGTTTCTGTACAAGGCCAAAAAATTCTGCAACTTTTTTGAGTCTTGTCATGTTTATCAACGACATGTCGCACTATTTAATTTAATTTTTTTCAAAAATAAAAGGGAAGATAAAATTCTTATACAATTTCCCTATATAAATTCCGCCATATTGGTTACAGGATGTTGAAATTAATGCGCTACACAATTTTTGATGACGTTTATCTAATGATTTAAAATGAAAGCACTTTGGAATTTTAAAAAAATGAATTCTTTAATGATTTTGGAGGGTTGTTTTTAAAAACATATTAGATTAGGCATCCGTTTGTGTTTTTTTATTACATTTTTACGACATCGATTTCAGTTGTATTAATTTTCTTTGATTTTTTTTTTCGTTCACAATGTAGGCCTAATTAATTTTTTCGGAGTTCGGAGTTGACCAGCGACATTTTGACCACTTCTACTACAACGATTGCATTCAACCTTGACAAGTGGGTCAAGACTTGGTGACAATGCAATGTGAATTTAAAGTTGTTAAAATTTTATTAATTAATGGAGACGACCGAGTTGACGAGAATCCATTAATCACATTGTTGACATGGATTAAAACATGTTTTTCTTTTGGATTTTTGCGTAAAAAAAAATTTAAAAATTCATAAAAAACGTTTTAATAACAAGCTTTTATGTAATAATGCACTAAAACGTAGAAAATAAATTATAGACTACTATTTAAATAACTATAACGAAAAGCGTTGGTCACTTTAGTATCTATTGAATACCTTTACTAATGTTAAGGAAGACACCCACGCTTTTCTTTATAGTTATTTAAATAATTGTCTATAATTTATTTTCTACTTTTTAGTGCATTATTACATAAAAGCTTGTTATTAAAACGTTTTTTATGATTTTTTTTTCAGTACTTTACATGTTTTATTTACAATAGAGTAACATGACTAAAAACCATTGCGCGCCTACTGAACGTGTTGGCGCAGCCATTGAACGTGATGACGCGTGTGGTGTGATTGGATAGACATGCCTACTAATTCGGTCCAAATTTTAATTAATTCATAAAAAATTAATTAGGCATCCAATTAAGTCAAATTTAATTTCAGATTGCATTGTCTTCGATCTAGACAGACAGACTGACGACTGACGACAGAGGGAGGGAGTTAAATAAAAGCTTGTAAAAATTAAATTTTAGGCCTTAAAATAATTCAGAAAATTTAATATTTTTACTTTCTCGTATATACGAAGTACGGAGAAAGTCTTGCAATCGTGCAAAAAAAAAAAATCGAGATTTTTTTCAAAATCTCGACGTTTTACACCTCACTGATACGGAAAAACATAATTTTGCAACCTTGTCCGAATGTCTGTGTGTCTGTGTGTGTGTGACTGTGTGTGTCTGTGTATGTGTAAACACGATAACTTGAGTACCGTTACAGCTAGGTTGTTGAAATTTCATATATAAATATATTATCAAAATCGTAGATCCGTTTGAACGTTTGAGCGATTTCCGATAAACGGAAGTGGAACTTTTTTTACTATGAATTTTTCAAAAGCATATAATGTAAGTACTATTTCAGATAGATACATAACATTTCATATAAAAGTAAAAGGTCTAATTCTCTGCCTTCTGTCAAGTTTTGAGTAATTTCCGTTGACCGGAAGTAGTAATTTACGCTATTTCCGATTTTTCAAAAAGACGCATTTGAATTTATAAAGTACTAATATTCCGCACTATTATGCACATTTGGCTTGGCGTTCACTTTGTGTGCAATTAGTGTTTCTACGAGATTCTATTCTATTTTAAAAAGTTTAAGAAATTCAAAATGGTTTAAAATTTTGTCTATATCCCGAGTTGCCATCCCACGTAGTGTTATATAAGAATATTAGGGGAGATCACTCCCTGTCTACAATATAACTTATTTTAGCCTATCAAATAGCAGGATGCCATTGTTTATATCGCCATTACACGTGAAAACCAAATAGTTTTTGCTTTTTTTTATTTAGTTACCAAAAATATTAAAAACAACAAATACATCCAATCTTTAGTAAATTCCGAAAAAAAAACCCAGACAGACAAGATTTTACAACCAGCTTCAAAGTTAACCGGAAACAAAACATGTTATTGAGAACGGATATTTTTATCCAGAATCGACATTTCAATCGGATTAATACACTGTGGTGACACATGGGTATATTGATACAGTGTCCTGGTCACATGGTATCGTTATATGACGCTACAACCGTTGTATACTGGTACATGTAAAGCACTAATTCACACGGTCCATGGTCCAGATAAAGTATTGCTCGCCTAAACGGATGGTGTGGTCAGCATGATGCCTATCAGCAGTTACCTTCCCCAACGTCAGCCAAGTACCCATCAGAGCTGAGTACACTCTACTTAAGCTCAGGATCCGAACTCGAGACTTACTTATTGTCAGTCAAACGCTCTGCCTTTCGTTCCATGTTGTATCTATCGATACAAAGACTGTATACATGCACTTTAATACTTTCACTGAGTTAAAAGTTACATATTTAGAAAATTGTCTATGATTATATTAAAAATGTAATAATCTATAGCATGCAACCAACGTTTTTCTCGTATTTGTCAAACGAATTTAGAATCATAATTCGTTTCAATAATTATCCAAATTGAGAACAGATGGGAGAGATTATCCTAAAGCTATTTATCCCATGGTAAGTTTTAGTGATATGATTTAATTCCATGGAAAGTTGTCAATGATTTGATTTTATCTAATGGTAAGTGTTAGTGATATGATTTCATTTCATGAAAAGTTGTTAATGATTTGATTTTACCCCATGGCAAGTTGTCAGGGAATAGATTTTATCCCACCGTGAATTGTCAGTGTTGATTTCATCTCATGGTAAGTTTGTAGTTTGATTTTGTCTTTCCTTGTTCTTTTAAAACAATAAATCGGCCCACAAAGTTAATTGAAACAAAACAAAAAGAGTCGAGAAGATATGTTTGATGTTTTCTTTATCATAGACCTTACACAACCATAATGACTATACTTAAATTTAAACTCTCCATTTCAGGATAAGAAAATCAACAAGTTTTATGAAGACATCATTGGCAAGATTTTCTAAACATGCCTGCGTAGCTGGGTTTTATCACACATCTTCTCCTGGATACTAGGCTCAGTTTTCACTTAATTATCTCATAACGAGTCTCACTTTTTTAAATTGGATGTACTCTGTTGAAATTAATATCATGTAAACAAAGCACCACAAATCAATAAATTTTTGTAGATTTAAACTACATGAAATCATTATTTACAACTACTTTTGTGTATAAATTTAACGCCTATTTATTATTTATTTCTTTTTTAAACGTTTAATTATTTGTTAAACAAAAGCTACGAGAATGTAGACTATGTAATTGTTTACTATTTAAATATGTAAAACTGTTTTCAAAGAGTACGTATTGTACTATTCAGGCCACTAGGTTGAACTAAGATTAAAATAGTTCAACTGTTGTTTTAATTGAAAGTTATATAAACAACAGAAAAGTATATATATATATATATATATATATATATATATATATATATATATATATATATATATATATATATATATATATATATATATATATATATATATATATATATATATAACATTGATTAATTGCTAAAAATAATTTCGAATACGAATGTAAATCAGAATAAATGATAAAGAAAATAAACTAATTGGACTATTTAAATTAATTTTATAAACAGGTATTTTCTGTAGTAAAACTAGCAATAGCTATAGAAGTCGTCCTCTGCTAAATATGTCTTTTAACACCCATTCAACTTATTAAACTAATATTCCCTAATAAATTACGCGATGATTTTTTGCAATTGTGTAACTTCTGTCTCCTGACTAATTAGTTGAATCAACAAGATTAAATGCGGCTAATCGAAGTTCTGTACACCGTGCTACACACGAACCTACGACAGAATATTGATTTTCTGTAGAATATTGATTTTCTGTGAAGGACAACTAGTTGAAATTTTTTGTGTGGATCATATTAAAATGTAAACCGCTCTTTGAATCTACTTTAATAAGGTCCATTCTTTCAAATGTGATCTAAAAAGTAAAGAAAGTGACTAAAAAACTTCAACCCGTAGTAATGGAAGGGCTTACTATTAAACCAATGTACGGATGTAAAATGAAAAATGTTGTTAGCCTAAGTAGCGAAAGCTAGTATATCTTTTTTAAATGTTTGAAAACATTTTCTATAAACTGTTGTACACTTGTCTACTTGACGGTTAAATAAAGTATAATAACTACTGTTTTTATTCATTTCTACATTTTTTTCCGTATTGTTTCAAGAAAGAGTTTTCAATGTTGAAAAAATTTTTCCCTTGTCAATGTCCACATTCAAATATGGGAAATAATTCACTCTAAATGCATTTGAAACTACTTCTTCTGCTCTGGTCTCTAAATTGTATTATTATCATTATTTTATAAATCCAGGATTTCTTTCAGACATTCTCGTGTGGGTAACTTAAAACCACCGAGTCGCGTTGGAAGGGGTGGAAGTACCCCGTTTCTAGTATTGTTTTCATAATTGCTAGTGATCTAGAACTGATGACATCCATGCTATTGCTCTAGAACTGTTGACATTTACTATAGCTCTAGCGCTAACCCTCTGTCTAAGATCTCAACAAACCATCCCTTATCAGCTTCACGTTTCAAGAGTTGTCTCTTCATCTAGCTCATCATTGTATTGATGAATTGATTGTAAGTCGGAACTTTTAAGTTTTAAATCCAATAATCAAACTTATAAATTTTATGTAGAAATAAAAAAAAAACAGAAGATTTTGTGTAGAACATTGTTTTAATAACGATCTAAAACCATTTGTGAACTGGTCCAACATGGTGAACTCTCCTGACCCCACCAACCGTGTCAGACTGACCAGTTTTATTTGACTGCTTGACCGTTCAGTGTGACGTCACATGAGACCGGACATCGCGTCATAACATCTCTGATGGCTGTCGTGTACATCTCCTCGTCATCACTCATGTCACAGGTCAAACCTAGCGAAAAGGTGTCTAGATTTGTGCACGGCTGTAAACTGTGGACACACAGGTAGGGCAGGAATAGCATTACATACATGTATGACACAGATTAGAAACTCATATCGTATCTAACACGCTACACATGTTGTAGCACACAAACTGTACTTGTGTCTAAAATAGGATATCGCTGAGCCCACCCCGCACTGATGGGTACCTGATTCTACTCCACCCACCTCGTTCCCCAACGTGAGTAAGAAACCTGTCTAACTGTTGGGCACGGTGCACGCTACACTATTTCGTCATATACTGAGTTCAAGAAACATACACATACAAACTCTACTTCATCTGATAAGATTATCTCATAGAAAGTTTGCTTCATTGATTTAACCAACCCAACAGTCATACAACTATTAGAACATATGCATTTAATCTTGCAGCACACTCGACCATATGTTTTACTACTTACAATTCAAACAACTAATAAATTTTTAGCCTACAAAATGTATTTAACAGCCTGAAATCACAACCAGAACAACACTAGAATGTTGACTTACCTTTTGAACATCGCATCAATGCATTCCATGTCTAGACGAACATCAGTTTGTAGGTAAAGATGATGTAAAGTTTCCTGTAAACATAGACATAATTATATGAGTAAAAATCATGGGTGTTGTTGCATTAAGTTTCAGGAACTACAATTAGTTAAACGCTGATTCCGCGCGAAAACATTTTCGGCTCAGCTATTTGTTAACAAAATATATATTTGTATTTTCTACAATTTAATAATGTGAATTGACTAAATGAAAGTTTTGTACCTAGTATTTACCACCCCCACCCTCTTCCCATGTTAAGCTGATCCCCCTCACCTGAAAGTTCTGTCCCACGTGTTGAAAGAACTCCTCTAAGTTCTCTATAGCGATGACACTGCCAGATTTCCACTTGACTTGATAGAGCGGCATGGATGGTGTTAGCATCAATGTCGTGTCTTGGAAGTACGACTCCTGAATGGAATTATTTTCAAGACTTAATTTGAAATTCTGTATTTAAGGGAACAAGATACCCATGTTTTCGATAAAATGTTAATTTTGCTACCCAAAATTTTTATTTCTTAATTCGATAAAAATACCTTTTATCTATCTAACCCGAACATTTCGGACTTCTACAGCTTACGGTTATTCGTTTATTGCGATGTGAAACATGGTACCCCCCGGCAAGTTTTCACACTACTACGCGGACAGCGGCTATCTTCGAGCGGGTATTACATCATTTATTGCCCGCGAGGCACCATAAACTTTACAGCAATCTAAGGGCCAAGCACTCGTGTACCCGCTGGTGTAGTGACCTTTTCTTTTGTTCTAAAAATAATTGGGATAGAAGTTGTTTTCTACAAAGTAAAATTTTATATTAAACTCCATTTAAGGGCATGCGCGTAAAATTTATGAATGGGAAGAGGTTCATTGATACGCTTGACCAATCATATTATAGTACAGTAAATCAAAATAATTCACGATAGGCTGCAACTAACCACGTGTGCTAGGCAGCCATCTTGTTTCTAGATAAACAAAACAATCGCCTGTCTCGTTTGTTTACCTCATTTGCGTATACTCTTCTATTTGTTGTTTTAAAGTTATACAACAACATTAAGTTTAATAATTGAAACTTTGCCTAGAAATGTACTGTTGATTATCACTGGAACAATATTAAACACTGTTGCGTACGCTTTAAAATTATACTAAGCTGAAACAATGCGTCATGGACATGACTATCAGTTTGAAGAATGTACTGTCCATCCCCTTTACCCCCTTCATTCCCTTCTCGCCATTCAACCAACGGCCGGTTTATAATCTTGTTACGGCATGCTGTGATAGGCTTGAACGCGTTCATCAGGCTTTACACCGGACTGTATACGACACATGTGTTAATGTGTATGCCCATCTCTCCGTATACGGCGTATAGGGTGTGCTAGCAACGAATGTAAATACTAGATAGTAGTAGATAGGATAGCTGAGAAGCATTCACTTAGGCCCTGTACTTGACCCTATCTACACAGATGTGTTATTCGCGGTTGAAAGAACATTGGTAATCTATGGCTCATCGGTTCTTCATGCACTATCCAGCGGTGGGGTGGATGGAGGGGCGTGTCTAGCCTCAAGCGTTGTACCCAGTGTTGTGTTGTAGGCTATTATCATAAGGCAATAAACTTGTGTAAGCTACAATTTGAGTAGAGAAAGACATTGTTTTGAAGTGAGAAGACCGGCTAACAAACAAAACTTTATCTGGTTTGATGATAGCTGTTCTGAGAATACCGCTCGATTGATAGGATGTGTAATACTTAATAGTCATACATTCATTACCTGTTGTATACATATTTTCTGCTTACATAGAAAAAATCTATCTAAAACTTACAACATAAATCAAAGCGTATTTTATTAGACAAATGGTTCTTCCACATATAACAAGACGTTTTTTTCTGTTTTCTATAAGAGAAAACGCACTGTGCCTTTTCCCGCTCTTCTTTTCACGTTTTCTCAACTTTGCATTTTTACTCAAAATTCGACATTCAAATCGCTAAGGCTTTGGAACCCTTTGTCATACAAGAATAAAACATTCCACGTGCGTTCAGCATTATACCATCTACAAAACTACGTTTGTACATTGAGTTTACTACAATACTTAAGGAAATATTGATATTTTTGTAACACCACCCCCTAATTTTTGTACATACATTTACGTAAAAATTTGTATAAAAAATTGAGTACAAGCTATCGCAATGAGTAAACGTAGAAATGTATAGTTTGGTTTGAGAAATCTAAATCTTTCATCCGTTTTTTTAAATCTCTTATAAGAACAAAGCCTTAGCGATTTGAAAAGGTGTTAGTTTTCACACCTTTTCGCTGTTTCCATGGCAACCAGTACTGCTATTGACGGCTATATATTATTTTTGTCTATAGTTTAACAACTATAATTATATGAACTTATTAAACATCCAGAAATGTGTTAAATAAAAAAAAAATTTTTATCCGTGGTGCCTATCCTTAATTGTGATTTCTCAACTTTGGAACAATAACTCAATGTTAAAAAGTAAAGAATAATTGTAGGCCTAGCAATCTGTTGGGCAGATGAAGTAGAGTTCATATGTTAATTGGCCTCGACTCATATTCAGAATTAAAGACGAGTAGGCAAAGTGCTGACTACTCCTCCCTTTCATGAGTTAGGTACCCATCAGATTTGGTTGGATTTAGAGACGTTCTACTGACTTGAACCTTGGATTTGAACTCGAGACTTTCGGATTAACAGCCTAGTGCTCTACCACCGTCCCATGTTAGTCTGACTAAAATAATGAACAGAAGGTAAGCTACTTGTTTATCTACTTTACTAAAAGCGGCTGTGTTAAAACGGTACCAGACCGACATAAATTTAATTTAATAGCAAAAGTAATTTGATGTTTTTTTTGTTTTTAAAATATTATTGTACTGAATGTTTTTTTTTTAATAAACAAAATCTCACAGTTATGGGTTTGATGAAAAATAGGACTCGGAGCTCAGGACATGCCGCTGTAAGATCCTCCCACGCTTCAGGGGTGGTGCTACTCTCGAAATTTGGGGGCTTGTCTACACGAACTGTGATCACCTTCAGGCTACTTGTTGTCGTGGCTAAGCTGAACAGCAGGTCATCTTCCAAATAACCGTAGCTGAGGTCCAGGTCTGAAAGTCACAAGGTCTCGCGTTATGTGGCATATGGTGAGTTGACTAGAGCAGTAACCAAGTCAAATATTACGTCGCATAGCCTTCCACTTGACTTGATAGAGCGGCATGGATGGTGAATTGATTGTGCGGTCATGTTCTTATCGGAGCTAGGTGGTCAAGGTCTTGTTAGTGTTGGATGGTCAAGACCTTATCAGAGCTAGGTGGTCAACATCTTGTCATTGTTGGGAAGTCAAAGTCTTGTCGAGGTTTTTTATCAAAACTGGCTGGTCAATGTCATTTTCAACATAGACGACTGCTACACTGAAAAGTGTTTGTCTACTCTCCAAACTAAACAACTAGTAAGGAAATATTAGAGATAACCAGTGCTCACGTCCCTGTAGAGTTATAACCACCATCATTAGCTACCATACTACGACATAGAAACACGAATGTTTGTTTATTATTGAAAGTATTATTAATAATTATGTACTTGTTTTAAATATGTTGAAGAACAGACTAAATCAAACTATTGATTTAACTTAAAAAAACGTCTTACAACTATTCAACCCACCTGACAACTTGCTGAAACCTGCGATGGCGCTTCGAAATTGTGGAAGAAATCTCAAGTTAATAGGGTAAATATCTTCCAAGCTAACGAACCTCGAGATCGTAAGTTTCTGTAGCGTGTTGGCACAGTTTTTACTAGCAGCATTCAACAGTCTCATACCTTGGAATATTTAAATAAAGTTTCCAGTTGTATTGTTAAATAGTTTAATCATGTTTTGAAAAAAAGCATGTTATTGTTTTGATTTTCGATGCATTAATACCAACACAATAAAATCTAACTAAATACAAACCGTGCAAGCACCCAACGTCTTTTTAACACCCAATGTTAGACTGTCCATACTGACCTTCATTTACGGTAAAACAATCATTGCCACGGTTGTTGACAGACTTTTGGCTGTTGCTGAGGTCAAGGACACGAAGCTGCTGCTGGTCGTACAAAACTTGGGTCAAGAGTTGAGCGACCTCTGAAAATGACCTTGACTTTCCGCTTAAGCCACCAATTTCCAAACTGCACAGATTGGTTAGCTTGAAGGTCAAAATCTGACGGTTGCGTGAGTTCAAAAAGTTCGCAAGGAATTGGTACAACAACTCTGTACAGGATGCGCTGACTTTATCTCCTTTAAAAACCAAGAGAGCACACATGTACATTTGTTGTCGACTGGTTCGTACAAAGACGCACACCTCCACCACTATTTGTGTGACTTACCCAAAGAATGGTAACCGTTCGCTCTACATTCTACGTTGATGTGACGTAATGTTTTCCCGTTGATTTTGACAAACCTGATGGCCTTCTCATCATTCTTGGAGTTAAAAACAAAATCTCCGGACTGCCGCAGGGACGGCACTGAGAGTAGACGGAGCCAGGACTTGCAGGTGAGGGCGGCGTGGTACTTGTCGCTGTTGCTAAGGTAACGGAAGACGTGCAGCAAAATGTCGTACGGCAGCTGGCTCCAGTCAGGCTGATTATCAAATACGATTACCCGGAAAAATATAAATATGGTATTGCTATATCATAAATATGGCTTCAAATAGTTAAATATATATCTGCACGGATTTGAGTAAAACAATTAATAAAAATGGGTTCATCCGAGATATTTGAACTATCACAGTGAGTATAAGACACTATAGGGTACTAAAGGTCGTGAGTATAGGACACTATACGAAACAATAGGACATGTCTTTACCTGTTTCTGTATAAGGCCAAAAAATTCTGCAACTTTTTTGAGTTGTGTGATGTTTAACAACGACATGTCGCAATATTGGGCTGTGGAAATTTGCTTCTCGATGTTATTTAATATTCGTTTTCAAAAATAAAAGGGAAAATCAAATTATTATAAAATTTCCCTATATAAATTCCGCCATATTGGTTACAGGATGTTGAAATAGATGCGCTACACAATTTTTGATGACGTTTATCGAATGATTTAAAATGAAAGCACTTTGGAATTTAAAACGTGAATTCTTTAATGATTTTGGAGGGTTGTTTTTAAAAACATATTAGATTAGGCATCCGTTTGTGTTTTTTTATTACATTTTTACGACATCGATTTCAGTTGTATTAATTTTCTTTGATTTTTTTTTTCGTTCACAATGTAGGCCTAATTAATTTTTTCGGAGTTCGGAGTTGACCAGCGACATTTTGACCACTTCTACTACAACGATTGCATTCAACCTTGACAAGTGGGTCAAGACTTGGTGACAATGCAATGTGAATTTAAAGTTGTTAAAATTTTATTAAATAATGGAGACGACAGAGTTGACGAGAATCCATCAATCATATTGTTGACATGGATTAAAACATGTTTTTCTTTTGGATTTTGCAATCAAGGCGACCGTAAAAAAATATAAAAAAAAAACTTAGGCCTTAAAATAATACAGAAAATTTAATATTTTTACTTTCTCGTAAATACGAAGTATAGAGAAAGTCTTGTAATCGTGCATTACAACTCACTGATACGGAAAAACATAATTTTGAATTCTTGTCCGTATGTTTGTGTGTCTGTGTTTGTAGGTGTATGTCTGTGTGTGTGTGTGTAAACACGATAACTTGAGTGCCGTTAAGTACTATATTTAAATCGTAGATCCGTTTAAACTTTTGAGCGATTTCAGATAAACGGAAGTGGAACTTTTTCTACTTTGAATTTTTCAAAAGCATATAACGTGAGTACTATAGATACATAAAATTTCACATAAAAGTGAAATATCTAATTCTCTGCCTTCTGTCAAGTTTTGAGTAATTTATGTTCACCGGAAGTAGTAATTTACGCTATTTCCGATTTCTCTAAAAGACGCATGTGAATTTATAAAGTACTAATATTCCGCACTATTATGCACATTTTGTTTGGCGTTCACTTTGTGTGCAATTAGTGTTTCTACGAGATTCTATTCTATTTTTAAAAGTTTAAGAAATTCAAAATGGTTTAAAATATTGTCTTTATCCGGAGTTGCCATCCCACGTAGTGTTATATAAGAATATTAGGGGAGATCACTCCCGGTTTATTTAGCTTACAATGTGTACAATAAAATTAATAATAGCCTATCAAATAGTAGGATGCCATTGTTTATGTCGCCATTACACGTGAAAACCAAATCGTTTTTGCTTTTTCTTTATTTAGTTACCAAAAATATTAAAAACAACAAATACATCCGATCTTTAGCAAATTCCGAAAAAAAAACAGACAGACAGGATTTTATAACCAAATTAATTGTATCGACGCCGTGTATGATTTTAAAAATATTTAAAGGGCCTCTCGAATACCTTTGATGCTTTACTCGCTCGCGTCCATTAATTTTTAAATATTTAAATAACGTTTCCTGTATGAAGTTGTAACAACACGTATATAGTTGATGATATGATACTGTTGTTATTGTGGGTTTGTTCATCCAAGAATACGAGCAACAGTGCTTTGTAACTTCAAACTTTATTTACATGGATCCAAGAGAAATAATAATAATATTCCACAGTAGAAAAATGACTATTACATTATAGTCTAGAACAAACTGACGTGGTGATATCTTACATCTTACTACACAATCACAGTCCAAGCACCTTCGTTCACCTTGCGCTCCCCTTTTATACGGTCCATTCTCTCCCCTTACGTCAATGAGCGATCTCACCAAAAAGCGTGGAAAAATATATGACGAGTCGCTCAGACAGTCCTTCCGCTAGCCAGGTACTCTACATTCACGCAACTTCATGTAAAACACAATATAATAAACATACCTAATAATACAGTCTGTGACAGAAGTAATGCTTATTATTGCGCTATCAAAAAAAAAAATAAACCTAGATCTAGAGTAATTTGCCTTAAATTTTCTCGCCTATTCAGCTTAAAATTTAACCGGAAACGAAACATGTTATTGAAAACGGATATTGATCCAGAATCGACAGCTCAATCGGATTGATACACTGTGGTGACTAATGGCTATATTGATACACTGTGGTGACACATGGGTATATTGATACACTGTGGTGGCAATGGTCTGTGATATTTTGGTGGGTATATTAAAAAAGTGTGGTGACACATTAGTGGTTATATTGATACACTGTGGTGACACATGGGTATATTAATACACTGTGGTGACAAATGGCTATATTGATACACTGTGGTGACAAATGGCTATATTGATACACTGTGGTGACACATGGGTATATTGATACACTGTCCTGGTCACATGGTATCGTTATATGACGCTACAACCGTTGTATACTGGTACATGTAAAGCACTAATTCACACGGTCCATGGTCCAGATAAAGTATTGCTCGCCTAAACGGATGGTGTGGTCAGCATGATGCCTATCAGCAGTTACCTTCCCCAACGTCAGCCAAGTACCCATCAGAGCTGAGTACACTCTACTTAAGCTCAGGATCCGAACTCGAGACTTACGTATTGTCAGTCAAACGCTCTGCCTTTCGTTCCATGTTGTATCTATCGATACAAAGACTGTATACATGCACTTTAATACTTTCACTGAGTTAAAAGTTACATATTTAGAAAATTGTCTATGATTATATTAAAAATGTAATAATCTATAGCATGCAACCAACGTTTTTCTTGAATTGTCAAACGATTTTAGAATCATAATTTGTTTCAATATTTATCCAAATTGAGAACAGATGGGAGAGATTATCCTAAAGCTATTTATCCCATGGTACGTTTTAGTGATATGATTTCATTCCATGGAAAGTTGTCAATGATTTGATTTTATCCCATGGCAAGTTGTCTGGGAATAGATTTTATCCCACCGCGAATTGTCAGTGTTGATTTCATCTCATGGTAAGTTTGTAGTTTGATTTTGTCTTTCCTGGTTCTTTTAAAACAATAAATCGGCCCACAAAGTTAATTGAAACAAAACAAAAAGAGTCGAGAAGATATGTTTGATGTTTTCTTTATCATAGACCTTACAAAACCATAAAGACTATACTTAAATTGTAACTCCCCATTTCAGGATCAACAAGTTTTATGAAGACATCATTGGCAAGATTTTCTAAACAAGCCTGGATAGCAAGGTTTTATCACAATCTTCTTTTGGATAATTGGATCAGTATTCACTTAATTATCTCATAACGGGTCTCACATTTTTAAATTGGATGTACTCTGTTGAAAATAATATCCAAACTCTATGTAAATAGCGACTTGCACATTATGTAAACAAAGCACCACAAATCAATAAATTCTTGTAGATTTAAACTACATGCAATCATTATTTTACAACTACTTTTGTGTATAAATTTAACGCCTATTTATTATTTATTTAATTTTTAAACTTTTAATTATTTGTTAAATAAAAACTACGAGAATGTAGACTATGACGTAATTGTTTACTTTTTAAATATGAAAAACTGTTTTCAAAGAGTACGTATTGTACTATTCAGGCCACTAGGTTGAACTAAGATTAAAAAAGTTAACTGTTGTTTTAATTGAAAGTTATATAAACAACAGAAACGTGTGTGTATATATATATATAGATATATATAAGATTACATGCGGGTAATCGAAGTTCTGTACACCGTGCTACACGAAGCTATAAGAAATATTGATGTTCTGTGATTTTTTTTGTGTTGATCATATTAAAATTTAAACCGCTCTTTGAATCAACTTTAATACGGTCAATTCTTTCAAATGTGATCTGAAAAGTAAAGAAACTGACTAAACAACTTCAACCTGAAGTGCTTAATATTAAAACAATGTACGGGTGTAAAATTATAAATGTTGTTAGCCTAAGTAGCGGAAGAAAGTATATCGTTTTGTAATGTTTGAAAATTGTTGTACACTTTTCTACTTGACGATAAAATAAAATATTATAACTACTGTCTTTATTCCTTTCTACAATGTTTTCTTAATTGTTTCTATAAAGATATTCCATTGTTGTAATTTTTTCCTTTGACAATGTTTACAATCCAATATGGGAAATGATTCACTCTAAATGCATTTGAAACTACTTCTTCTGCTTATTATTATTATATTATTATTATCATTATTATACAAATCCAGGGTTTCTCCATGCGATTGTTCTAGAACTGTTGACCTCCATGCTATTGTTCTAGAACTGTTGACCTCCATGCTATTGTTCTAGAACTGTTGACCTTCATGCTATGGTTCTAGAACTGTTTACATCTACTATTAGCTTCACGGTCCAATAATTGTCTTTCCATCTAGCTCATCATTGCATTGATGAATTGGTTGTAAGTCGGAACTTTTAGGTTTTAAATCCAATAATCAAACTTATAAATTTTATGTAGAAATAAAAAAACAGAAGATTTTGTGTAGAACATTGTTTTAATAACGATCTAAAAACATTCGTGAACTGGTCCAACATGGTGAACTCTCCTGACCCCACTCACCGTGTCAGACTGACAAGTTTTATTTGACTGCTTGACAGTTCAGTGTGACGTCACATGAGAGCGGACATCGCGTCATGACATCTCTGATGACTCTCGTGTACATCTCCTCGTCATCACTCATTTCACAGGTCAAACCTAGTGACAAGGTGTCCAGATTTGTGCACGGCTGTAAACTGTGGACACACAGGCAGGGTAGAAATATCATTACGTACATGTATGACACACATCAGAAACTCATATCGTACCTGACTCGCCAAGCCAGTGGCGTAGCTACCGTAAAGCTAGCGTAAGCAAGGCATAGGGGCCCAAGGCAAATAGGGACCCTTTCCCCTCTCTAAATTTTTAAAAAATTTACATTTTAATATTTGTATTATAAAAATAATTTTAGAAAGAAAACGGAAATCCAGTTTCTTTTCTACCGTAGAAGTAATAAAAAATTAAAAAAAGACCTCAAACGTTTCTTACTGTGGAGTGAAGGGGGGGGGGGGGAAGTGAACAAGGCCCATCGGTATCAATAACCCTATAGGCATTGTTTCTTTCTGTTCATCGATATTAATAACACTATAGGCATTGTTGCATTGTCGGGCAAGCCGTTGAGAGAACTAACCTATAAATATAATTGAACTTTGACTCTTTTGTGGCATCCGGAACCCACAATTTTTTACGCATCGCTAAAAACTCTCTACCCCACCTCCACACACCTGCACCCCTACCCTCTCAACTCTCTATCCGCACCGAAATTCCTTCAATCCATGATTACAACTGAGCCATTTCTTTGTTAATAATGGCCGTAGACAGTGTTTTCACAACAAGCTAAGTGGAAAAAGTGTCAATGTTTTCCTAGTTTTAACCTTAATCACAACGTGTTTGTTGATCTAATTTATCTCTAATCAATATTCCGCTACTTAATGATTTTTGTTTGTCTGTCTCCGTGTCCTTTATGCATTAATACAAAAATGATCCATTCACCAAGACACACTGGGAAGTCGTTTAGAATAATTCAGACAAACCTCAGCTGACCGTGAAATTTCCTACTACAACTCCACACATGAGGAGCACTGCCTTCTCCCTCGAATATAAGCCAGAAAGAAACTCCTGTAAAGTTTTCTGCCAATAAATTTATTTATTTTTTTCGTTCGGGGAGCGGCCCCTTGACATTAAGGCGGTTCAGTTTTCCGCCCAGAGTTTTCCAGCGGCTTTCTTAGCACTCGTGGTCAGTTAATTGGATGTCCTGCACAAGGAGCCAGGGTTACTGCTTAATTCAACGGTCAAACTGGAGAGGTGCATCAGCCGTCGCCCCGGGCTCTCCCCCCCCCCCCGTGAGCACTACGGCGCATACGCTTGTTTTAATGAGCGCCATGCCCTAGGGATAAGGAGGGCTACTATAATCAATAGCTAAAGAAAATAAGTGGCGTCCTTCAGCCGCATCGGAAGTAGTATACAGTTTGACGCCCCAAGTCTCTCGATTATGATGATGTTATGAAACACGTTTTAGATATGCCCTTTGGGTCAATAACTTAGCCATCCTAAGTATTGAACATACAGAAGCAGCTCAAATGCCTAGCATGTTGTAGCACACAAATTGTACTTGTGTCCAGATTAGGGACTCTAGGATGTCGCTGAGCCCACCCCGCACTGATGGGTACCTGACTCAAAGGTACCTGACTCCAACCCACGCAATGGTACCTGACTCTACTCCACCCAGCTCTAATGGGTACCTGACTCTAGTCCACCCAAGTCTAATGGGTACCTGACTCTAGTCCACCCAAGTCTAATGGGTACCTGACTCTAGTCCACCCAGCTATGATGGGTACTTGACTCTAGTCCACCCAGCTCTGATGGTACATGACTCTAGCCCACCCAGCTCGTTCCCCAACGTGATTCAGATACCTGTCTAACTGTTGGGCACGGTGCACGCTACACCATTTAGTCATATACAGAGTTTAAGAAACATACACATACAAACTCAAATAAGATTATCTCACACAAAAGTTTGCTTCATTGATTTAACCAACCCAACAATTAGAACATATGCATTTAATCTTGCAGCTCCCTCGACCATATATCTTACGACTTACAAATCAAACAACTAATACAAAATGTATTTAACAGCCTGAAACCACAGCCAAAACAACAATAAAATCTTCACCTACCCTTTGAACATCGCATCAATGCATTCCATATCTAAACGAACATCAGTTTGTAGATAAAGATGGTGTAAAGTTTCCTGTAAACACATACCAATTATATGAGTAAAAATCATGATTGTTGTTGCATTAAGTTCCAAGAACTTCAATTAATTTAACGCTGATTCCAGGCAATAGCATTTTCGCCTCGGATCTTTGTATTTCTACCATTCAGTAACGTGAATGTACTAAGTGAAAGGTCTGTACCCAGTGTGGAGCTGATCCCCCTCACCTGAAATTTCTGTCCCAAATGTTGAAAGAACTCCTCTAAGTTCTCTATAGCGATGACACTGCTTGATTTCCACTTGACTTGATAGAGTGGCATGGACGGTGTTAGCATCAATGTCGTGTCTTGGAAGTACGACTCCTGAATGGAATTATTTTCAAGACTTACTTTGAAATTCTGTATTTAATTGTGATTTCTCAACTTGGAAATAATACTCTGTAACTCAATGTTAAAAAGTAAAGAATAATTGTAGGCCTAGCAATCCGTTGGGCTGATGAAGTACAGTTCATATGTTAATTGACCTCGACACATATTCAGAATTAAAGACGAGTAGGCAAAATGCTGACTACTCCTCCCTTTCATGAGTTAGGTACCCATTAGATTTGGTTGGACTTAGAGACGTTCTACTGACTTGAACCTTGGATTTGAACTCGAGACTTTCGGATTAACAGCATAGCGCTCTACGACCGTTGCATGTTAGTCTGACTAAAATAATTAACAAAAGGTAAGCTACTTTTTTATCTACTTTACTAAAAGCGGCTGTGTTAAAACGGTTATCAGACCGACATAAATTTAATTCAATAGCAAAAGTAATTTGATGCTATTTTGTTTTCAAAATATTGTTGTACTGAAGGTTTTTTTTATAAACAAAATCTCACAGTTGTGGGTTTGATGAAAAATATGACTCGGAGCTCAGGACATGCCGCTGTAAGGTTCTCCCACGCTTCAGGGGTGGTGCTACTCTCGAAATTTGGGGGCTTGTCTACACGAACTGTGATCACCTTCAGGCTAGTTGTTGTATTGGCTAAGCTGAGCAGAAGGTCATCTTCCAAATAACCGTAGCTTAGGTCCAGGTCTGAAAGTCACAAGGTCTCTCGTTATGTGACAGTTGGTGAGTTGACTAGAGCAGAAACCAAGTCAAATATTACGTCACATAGCCTTATTCTTAAGATAACTGTTCGGTCATGTTGTTATCAGAGCTGGATGGACAAGGTCTTGTCAGTGTTTGGTAGTCAATATCTTGTTGAGGTTATCAAAACTGGCTGGTCAATGTCATTTTCAACATGGACGACTGCTACACTGAAAAGTGTTTGTCTACTCTCCAAACTAAACTACTAGTGAGGAAATACTAGAGATAACCAGTGCTCACGTCCATGTAGAGTTATAATCACCATCATTAGCTATCATACTACGTCATAGAAAAACGAATGTTTGTTATTGAAAGTATTATTCATAATTATGTACTTGTTTTAAATATGTTGAAGAACAGACTAAATCAAACTATTGATTTAACTTAAAAAAACGTCATACAACTATTCAACCCACCTGACAACTTGCTGAAACCTGCGATGGCGCTTCGAAGTTGTGGAAGAAAGCTCAAGTCTTTCAAGCTAACGAACCTGGCGATCGTAAGTTTCTGAAGCGTGTTGGCGCAGTTTTTACTAGCAGCATTCAACAGTCTCATACCTTGGAATATATAAAGTTTCCATTTTTATTGTTAAATAGTTTAATCATGTTTTGAAAAAAAAGCATTTTATTGTTTTGATTTTCGATGCATTAATACCACCAGAATAAAATCTAACTAAATACAAACCTTGCAAGCACCCAGCGTCTTTTTAACACTGTCCATACTGACCTTCATCTACGGTAAAACAAGCATTGCCACGGTGTTTGACAGACTTTTGGCTGTTGCTGAGGTCAAGTAAACGAAGCTGCTGCTGGTCGTACAAAACTTGGCCCAAGAGATGAGAGACCTCTGAAAATGACCTTGACTGTTCCCTTATGCCATTTATTTTCAAACTGCACAGATTGGTAAGCTTGAAGGTCAAAATCTGGCGGTTGCGTGAGTTCACTAAGTTCGCTAGGAATTGGTACAACAACTCTGTACAGGATGCGCTGCGTTCATATCCTTTAAAAACCAAGAGAGCACACATGTACATTTGTTGTCAACTGGTTCGTACAAAGACGCACATTTCTACCACTATTTGTGTGACTTACCCAAAACACTGTAATCGTTCGCTCTACATTCTACGTTGATGTGACGTAATGTTTTCCCGCTGATTTTTACAAACCTGATGGCCTTCTCATCATTCTTGGAGTTAAAATTAAAATCTCCGGACTGCCATAAGGACGGCACTGAAAGTGGACGGAGCCAAGACTTGCAGGTGAGGGCGGCGTGGTACTTGTCGCTGTTGCTCAGGTAACGGAAGACGTGCAGCAAAATGTCGTACGGCAGCTGGCTCCAGTCAGGCTGATTATCAAGTACGATTACCTGGAAAAATATAAATATGTTATTGCTATATTATAAATATTGCTTCAAATAGTTAAATATATTAAAAATATATATCTGCACGGATTTAAGTAAAACAATAAAAAGGGGTTCATCCAAGATATTTGAACTATCACAGTGAGTATAAGACACTATAGGGTACTAAATGGCGTGAGTATAGGACACTATACGAAACAATAGGACGTGTCTTTACCTGTTTCTGTACAAGGCCAAAAAATTCTGCAACTTTTTTGAGTCGTGTCATGTTTAACAACGACATGTCGCACTATTTAATTTAATTTTTTTCAAAAATAAAAGGGAAGATAAAATTCTTATAAAATTTCCCTATATAAATTCCGCCATATTGGTTACAGGATGTCGAAATTGATGCGCTACACAATTTTTGATGACGTTTATCTAATGATTTAAAATGAAAGCACTTTGGAATTTTAAAAGAATGAATTCTTTAATGATTTTGGAGGGTTTTTTTTAAAAACATATTAGATTAGGCATCCGTTTGTGTTTTTTTATTATATTTTTACGACATCGATTTCAGTTTGATTAATTTTCTTTGATTTTTTTTTTCGTTCACAATGTAGGCCTAATTAATTTTTTCGGAGTTCGGAGTTGACCAGCGACATTTTGACCACTTCTACTACAACGATTGCATTCAACCTTGACAAGTGGGTCAAGACTTGGTGACAATGCAATGTGAATTAAAGTTGTTAAAATTTTATTAATTAATGGAGACGACCGAGTTGACGAGAATCCATCAATCACATTGTTGACATGGATTAAAACATGTTTTTCTTTTGGATTTTTGCGTAAAAAAAATTTAAAAATTCATAAAAAACGTTTTAATAACAAGCTTTTATGTAATAATGCACTAAACAGTAGGAAATACATTATAGACTACTATTTAAGTAACTATAAAGAAAAGCGTTGGTCACTTTAGTATCTATTGAATACCTTTACTAATGTTAAGGAAGACACCCACGCTTTTCTTTATAGTTATTTAAATAGTAGTCTATAATTTATTTTCTACTTTTTAGTGCATTATTACATAAAAGCTTGTTATTAAAACGTTTTTTATGATTTTTTTTCAGTACTTTACATGTTTTATTTACAATAGAGTAACATGACTAAAAACCATTGCGCGCCTACTGAACGTGTTGGCGCAGCCATTGAACGTGATGACGCGTGTGGTGTGGTTGGATAGACATGCCTACTAATTCGGTCCAAATTTTAATTAATTCATAAAAAATTAATTAGGCATCCAATTAAGTCAAATTTAATTTCAGATTGCATTGTCTTCGATCTAGACAGACAGACTGACGACTGACGACAGAGGAAGGGAGTTAAATAAAAGCTTGTAAAAATTAAAACTTAGGCCTTAAAATAATTCAGAAAATTTAATATTTTTACTTTCTCGTATATACGAAGTACGGAGAAAGTCACTGATACGGAAAAACATAATTTTGCAATCTTGTCCGTATGTCTGTGTGTCTGTGTGTGTGTGACTTTGTGTGTCTGTGTATGTGTAAACACGATAACTTGAGTACCGTTACAGCTAGGTTGTTGAAATTTCATATATAAATATATTATCAAAATCGTAGATCCGTTTGAACGTTTGAGAGATTTCCGATAAACGGAAGTGGAACTTTTTTTACTATGAATTTTTCAAAAGCATATAATGTAAGTACTATTTCAGATAGATACATAACATTTCATATAAAAGTAAAAGATCTAATTCTCTGCCTTCTGTCAAGTTTTGAGTAATTTCCGTTGACCGGAAGTAGTAATTTACGCTATTTCCGATTTTTCAAAAAGACGCATTTGAATTTATAAAGTACTAATATTCCGCACTATTATGCACATTTGGCTTGGCGTTCACTTTGTGTGCAATTAGTGTTTCTACGAGATTCTATTCTATTTTAAAAAGTTTAAGAAATTCAAAATGGTTTAAAATTTTGTCTATATCCCGAGTTGCCATCCCACGTAGTGTTATATAAGAATATTAGGGGAGATCACTCCCGGTTTATTTAGCTTACAATGTGTACAATAAAATTAATGGTAGCCTATCAAATAGCAGGATGCCATTGTTTATGTCGCCATTACACGTGAAAACCAAATCGTTTTTGCTTTTTCTTTATTTAGTTACCAAAAATATTAAAAACAACAAATACATCCGATCTTTAGCAAATTCCGAAAAAAAAAACAGACAGACAGGATTTTATAACCAAATTAATTGTATCAACGCCGTGTATGATTTTAAAAATATTTAAAGGGCCTCTCGAATACCTTTGATGCTTTACTCGCTCGCGTCCATTAATTTTTAAATATTTAAATAACGTTTCCTGTATGAAGTTGTAACAACACGTATATAGTTGATGATATGATACTGTTGTTATTGTGGGTTTGTTCATCCAAGAATACGAGCAACAGTGCTTTGTAACTTCATACTTTATTTACATGGATCCAAGAGAAATAATAATAATATTCCACAGTAGAAAAATGACTATTACATTATAGTCTAGAACAAACTGACGTGGTGACATCTTACATCTTACTACACAATCACAGTCCAAGCACCTTCGTTCACCTTGCGCTCCCCTTTTATACGGTCCATTCTCTCCCCTTACGTCAATGAGCGATCTCACCAAAAAGCGTGGAAAAATACATGACGAGTCGCTCAGACAGTCCTTCCGCTAGCCAGGTACTCTACATTCACGCAACTTCATGTAAAACACAATATAATAAACATACCTAATAATACAGTCTGTGACAGAAGTAATGCTTATTATTGCGCTATCAAAAAAAATAAAAATAAACCTAGAGTAATTTGCCTTAAATTTTCTCACCAATTCAGCTTAAAATTTAACCGGAAACGAAACATGTTATTAAAAACGGATATTGATCCAGAATCGACAGATCAATCGGATTGATACACTGTGGTGACAAATGGCTATATTGATACACTGTGGTGACACATGGGTATATTGATACACTGTGGTGACAAATGGCTATATTGATACACTGTGGTGACACATGGGTATATTGATACACTGTGGTGACACATGGGTATATTGATACACTGTGGTGACACATGGGTATATTGATACACTGTGGTGACACATGGGTATATTGATACACTGTGGTGACACATGGGTATATTGATACAGTGTCCTGGTCACATGGTATCGTTATATGACGCTACAACCGTTGTATACTGGTACATGTAAAGCACTAATTCATACTGTCCATGGTCCAGATAAAGTATTGCTCGCCTAAAGGGATGGTGTGGTCAGCATGATGCCTAGCAGAGTTACCTTCCCTAAAGTCAGCCAAGTACTCATCAGAGCTGAGTAGACTCTACTTAAGCTCAGGATCCGAACTCGAGACTTATTTATTGTCAGTCAAACGCTCTGCCTTTCGTTCCATGTTGTATCTATCGATACAAAGACTGTATACATGCACTTTAATACTTTCGATGAGTTAAAAGTTACATATTTAGAAAATTGTCTATGATTATATTAAAAATTTAATAATCTATAGCATGCAACCAACGTTTTTCTTGTATTTGTCAAACGAATTTAGAATCATAATTCGTTTCAATAATTATCCAAATTGAGAACAGATGGGAGAGATTATCCTAAAGCTATTTATCCCATGGTAAGTTTTAGTGATATGATTTAATCCCATGGAAAGTTGTCAATGATTTGATTTTATCTAATGGTAAGTGTTAGTGATATGATTTCATTTCATGAAAAGTTGTCAATGATTTGATTTTACCCCATGGCAAGTTGTCAGGGAATAGATTTTATCCCACCGTGAATTGTCAGTGTTGATTTCATCTCATGGTAAGTTTGTAGTTTGATTTTGTCTTTCCTGGTTCTTTTAAAACAATAGATCGGCCCACAAAGTTAATTGAAACAAAACAAAAAGAGTCGAGAATATATGTTTGATGTTTTCTTTATCATAGACCTTACACAACCATAATGACTATACTTAAATTTTAACTCTCCATTTCAGGATAAGAAAATCAACAAGTTGTATGAAGACATCATTGGCAAGATTTTCTAAACATGCCTGCGTAGCTGGGTTTTATCACACATCTTCTCCTGTATACTAGGCTCAGTTTTCACTTAATTATCTCATAACGAGTCTCACGTTTTTAAATTGGATGTACTCTGTTGAAATTAATATCCAAATTCTATGTAAATAGCGACTTGCACATTATGTAAACAAAGCACAACAAATCAATAATTTTTTGTAGATTTAAACTACATGCAATCATTATTTACAACTACTTTTGTGTATAAATTTAACGCCTATTTATTATTTATTTCTTTTTTAAACTTTTAATTATTTGTTAAACAAAAGCTACGAGAATGTAGACTATGTAATTGTTTACTTTTTAAATATGTAAAACTGTTTTCAAAGAGTACGTATTATACTATTCAGGCCACTAGGTTGAACTAAGATTAAAATAGTTCAACTGTTGTTTTAATTGAAAGTTATATAAACAACAGAAAAGTGTATATATATATATATATATATATATATATATATATATATATATATATATATATATATAAGATTACATGCGGCTAATCGAAGTTCTGTACACCGTGCTACACGAACCTGTAACAGAATATTGATATTCTGTGAAGGACAGTTAGTTGATGATTTTTTTGTGTGGATCATATTAAAATGTAAACCGCTCTTTGAATCTACTTTAATAAGGTCCATTCTTTCAAATGTGATCTAAAAAGTAAAGAAAGTGACTAAAAAACTTCAACCTGAAGTAATGGAAGTGCTTACTATAAAAACAATGTACGGGTGTAAAATGATACATGTTGTTAGCCTAAGTAGCGGAAGAAAGTATATCGTTTTGTAATGTTTGAAAATTGTTGTACACTTTTCTACTTGACGATAAAATAAAATATTATAACTACTGTCTTTATTCCTTTCTACAATGTTTTCGTAATTGTTTTAATAAAGAGATTCCATTGTTGTAATTCTTTCCCTTGACAATGTTTACTTTCAAATATGGGAAATGATTCACTCTAAATGCATTTGAAACTACTTCTTCTGCTTATTATTATTATATTATTATTATCATGATTATACAAATCCACTGTTTCTCCATGCTACTGTTCTAGAACTGTTGACCTCCATGCTATTGTTCTAGAACTGTTGACCTCCATGCTATTGTTCTAGAACTGTTGACCTCCATGCTTTTGTTCTAGAACTGTTGACCTACATGCTATGGTTCTAGAACTGTTCACCTACATGCTAT